GCCTGGGAGCGGGAAGTGGGATTATAATATTGAACGGCCTTCAAAATAATGGAAACCTCCAGGCAACTGCAAAATGAGCTAGACTGAAAAAAAAACTAAAATGCCACCGAATTACAGATAGCGTGAGTCATAGAAGTAACATACTAGCAGATAACGTGGAAATTATCAAGAATTCGTGAATCAAACCATGTCCAAATGATGTTGAGTACGTTGATAACGAACCTTTCATGGACTACTCCAAAATGAGGCATATAAACACCATCTGAGCCTCCCCCCTACAAGTGGGGAACAAAAAGTGAATAACTGTGTGATCAAATATTCACTTTCCAGTCAAATGTTCTACAAATTTTCATTTGAAGTATCTTTTTTCTACATTATGGAAACTAACTTTATCTCTGTCATGATTTGATCAGTATTAACAAAGTTATGGGTGTTACTATAATAAATTCGATTGTTTTTACCTAACCAATATCGGTTTTCAAAGTAAGTAAGAAGTAAAGTAAAATTAAGATAGAAGTAAAAAAAAAAAAGTAAACTTCTGTGTATATGAAAATGGCTCTAAAAGATTATTTGGCAGAAATACAATAAAAAAAAATTACATATAGCATTTCATCTTTGTCTTAGACCTGCAAATAAAATTCAACTGAAAATGTAATGTAGAACAAAAATTACTGAAAATTTTTAATTTTTTTCTTACAGACTTTTGCAGTGGTTCTGTGGATACATTATGTAATAACAAAATAAAATCTTCACATATTAATTTATTTATTGTCATCCTTCCCAGTCTTTTGGTATTAAGAATTTTTGGCAGAAGTAAACCTATTTTTTAATGGTATTGGAAAAACAATTTTCTATTCATCAATAATAAAAGGATAAGTTGCCTAACATATTTCACCAAGTCAATCGGTAAAATATTGGTTTTAAATGTTGTACGAGATTTTCAAATAGGATCATGGAATAATGTTTGATTTACAACAAAAATTGTTCCTTACTATTATTGCCACTCATATTTCGTATGTTCAGTGCAATTTCTTTTTACAATCATGAGAAGCTATTCCAAAGAATACATTACATGAAGAAAAAAATACTTATTCATATTTTCAATTCCACAATATTATTTTAAAAAAGTGCTAAAATAAAAATATTTTGTTGGTCCAGACCTTTACAATACAGCCGACCACAGGTCTAACATCAATTTGTTTATTAAGACTAGAATCCTACTAAGATATTAAAATTAGATACCAACTGCATAATTTAATCTAGTAAGTTGAATTAATCTTATTAGTTTGTTTTTTTTAACGAGCTTCTATTTGAAATGAAAAGATTATTGACACTAAAATAAACAAGTATATAGTTTTAAGTATATTGTCATGTTATTTATAAATTAATGTATCTTTCTGTTATCTTTTCAAATAGCCTTCAAGCCCTAAACATATCGATCAATTGTAATAAAAAAAAGAATTGTTTAGATTTTTTTTACTCGCATTAAAAACCAAATCTCCACCGTATTTTTATTATCTATATATATATAAAAATGAATTTATGTCTGTCTGTCTGTTTGTCCTTTGTGCATTACTAAACAATTCATCCGATCACCAAGAAACTTTGGGAAGTTGTTCCGTACCCTCCTGGGAAGGTTTCTGGCATAGTACTTCTGTCTTACGATAATATATGTAATAATAATAATAATAATAAGGCTTAGCGAACCCGAAGATTCGATGCCGACACCACCAATCGCTTGTTACACACCTCCCTCCACCGTTCGCCGTCCAAACCCAGTCCCTTCAGATCGGCTTTAATGCAATCTTCCCACCTTCGCTTCGGTCTACCCCTCGGACGCTTACCATTCGGCACAGCAAATATTAACCTTTTAGGAATTCTCTCGTTACTAAGCCCAACAACTTTACAAGCCCATTTGATTCGCCGCGATGAAATTACCTCAATTATATTACCCGGATACAGCTCACGCAATTCGGCGTTGTGTAACCGTCTGAACTCTCCGGTTAACTCATCCTTCTTCGGTCCGAATATTCTACGCAATACTTTATTTTCAAAAACCTTAAGACGCTGCTCATCCCTTAATGTAAGCGGCCAAGTTTCGCATCCATAAAGAACTGTAAGCAAGATAATTGTTTTATAGATTCTAATTTTTAAGTTTCGGGACAAGAGGCGCGAACTAAGTAGTTTTGTCACAGAAAAATAACAAGCAATCCCCGCCTTCAGTCTAACCTTAATCTCTTCTTCAATTTCGTTTTTTCTAGTTATCGTAGAACCTAGATACCTAAATTAATCTACCTGTTCAAACATATTACCATCTATATCGATATCACCAGTAGTATCGCCATTTTTGCAGCTAACCATATATTTTGTTTTATCCACGTTTATTTCGAGTCCTAGTTCTTTACCGGCTTTCATTAACGTTGTCGTATTTAGTTTTATAGTTTCAACGTCTTCGCTTAACAGTACCAGATCATCAGCATAGCCCAGCACGGATGTTGTCCCGCCCAGATCCAACCCTTTCTCGGTTCGCATTACCTCCCTAATGGCATGTTGTAATGCCAAATTGAACAGGATAGGCGAAAGAGAATCCCCCTGTTTTAAGCCCGAACGAACCTCAAATTTTTCGGACAAATTATTACCGATTCTAACTTTATTGAGTGTCTCCGTCAAGCACATCCTGACTAGATTTACTAGTTTTTTTGGAATCCCCTGCTCGATTAGAATATTATACAGTTTCTGGCGGTCAATAGAATCGTAAGCCTTTTTAAAATCTATATACAGCTGGTGAACAATACCGTTGTACTCCAATTTTTTCTCTAATATTTGCCGTAAAGAAAATATTTGATCAATAGTCGAACGATTCCGTCTAAATCCGTATTGGTAGTCTCCGGATAATTTCCTCGGCGTATTCCGTGATTCGACTGGTTAAGATTAATGTGAATATTTTATAACATACCGGAAGGAGTGAAATTCCTCGATAGTTATTACAATCCGTCCTCGGACCCTTTTTGTGAATCGGAATAAGAATAGATTCTTTCCATTCTTCAGGTAATTTCTCGTTCACCCAGATCTTTTTAACCAACCGATGTATTTTAGAAACTCCAGCTTCCCCGCATGCCTTAATTAGTTCAGTAGGAATATTATCGATTCCCGCTGCTTTATATGATTTTAATTTTCCGATAGCTACTTCAACTTCCTCTTTACTTGGTCCTTCTATTAACGGTTCAGCACTCTGGTACTCAGAAGGAGGACACAGATCATAATTTCCCGTATTTAAAATATTGTCAAAGTGGTCCTTAAACTTATTCAATATGTCAACCGGATCGGTCAGAATATTGTTATTATCATCCCTAATTCCAGACGTTACGGGCCCTACATATTTACGTGATCTGTTTATACCTTTGTACATGTCTCTTACGTTATTTTCGATTCTATATTCTACCGCTCACGTTTATCCTAATATATGTAAAAAATATAAAATATGTATATGTAAAAAAAATAAAAATGTAAATGTTTTTCTGTTCAAAACCGCAAAAAAATGTGTCACTATAAACTGTAGCGCCAAAACGGCTTTACCAATTTTAACAAAACTTGACTAAAGTTTTCCCCTTGAAACCCTTTTAATATATGTATATAACGTACTTTCCCGAAAACAAGCTGAAAAATGTTACGATGAATTCAATATTCTATTTGATGATAGCTAAAAAAACTAGGGAATTTTTGACTGATAATACCCATAATACCATTTATTTGAAATATTCCTGATTTGCTAAGTAAAAAAAAAAATCATCGAAATCGGACGGGTCGTTTCAGAGTTATAGAGTTTTAAACATTTACTGCTTTCTCTTCAGAAAAGGCCATTTCCTTTTACTACCGAAGGTAGGCAAGTATTTTTTTATTGATTAATCAAAAATTTTATAATTACCAAAGTAATTGAAATTATCATTTGAAGAAGTTATATGATTCTCCTTATGTAGGTCAATACTATTATACGTTCTTTATATTAGTTTTTTATTTTAGTTTTATAAGTTCAACTCAGACTGTTTCTGATGATTATGAATGAAGGCGTATTCACTCAGATGATTATGAATGTTCAATTTGAATCATGAGAAAAAAAATCATTAGAATTAGTTTAAATTGAAGCCATTTTACAGATAAATTTGTTTCCCAACTTTTTAAACATGACAGATGTCCTTTGCTATTAATCTACTCATATGTGCTTTCTATTTTCTATCTTTTTCATTTTGCCAGCAGCGCGTGGCTGGGTAAAGCTAGTATGATATATAAATTGGTATATCTTCGTATTTTATTTAAAATCTTTCTCTTAGACCTATATAAATTAAAAAAAAATTAAATTAAAAAAAATGTCTATCAGGTAATTTTAGACTGTTTATATGTTCTTATAAGTTCAGAATTTTAAACTACAATAATACCTCACACATTTTATTTTTGTTGTGTCGAGAAAAATTTTTGAATGAAATTAGAACAAATCATTTATTTATAAAATATATATTTGAAATAAAATATTTGTTATCAACGGTTTCTTCAAGTGAAATTAGGTATCAATTTAAATTTTCAAGTATGCAAACAAAAATAACATTTATAAGTAATCGTTTGTTCATCTATCATATTTAAGACTAACAATCCGGGAAGTCCTTTAGATGAGGACTAATATACCACTGGAACGACAAGAAAATGAAAAAGTTAAGTCTTACTATCAGGAGGAAAAGTTTGCACAGTGATGTACTAAAGTACTTCCAATAAGACCTCGTACCAATAGGAGGGCATATACATTCTATCGTTAATAAACTATAGAACAGACACAAGAATAATTTCTAAAATATTTGTTTGTGTGGTAGAGAGTTCTAAAAAGATTAATCAAATTATCACTTATATCAACAGTCTAACTACACTGGAATTGTGGTGATTGTATTTTAATGTTACTGAATCAAAATAAGCAAATTGATAATCTGGAGCAAGGAATGAAACGCTGTATTTATTACATAACAACATTTTAATAAACTCAGATTAATGATGACTGTAAAACCTTTGAAAACTTTAGCACATATATTAATTAAGAAAATATGAGACAACCAAGTTGTTTTAATTTATACACACATTGCTGAGCAACTTGTACATACAATTTGCACTGTAAGTGAAGAAACTATTTACTTATCTAAAACAGAAAAATATATGGATTAGATCACTTTAAATATACTCCAAAATCTGATATATAACTGATATTAACATTTAATTTTATTTGACTTAAATAAAAAATAGCCAGGTTTTGTGGATTAAGCTCTGGAATTTGGAGTATTAGAGGATTACAGTAATAGAGTAGACTATTAGAAACATAAATTTTAATTTCAAATCATTTATAAAACAATAATAATAATAAAACTATTAAATATTTGATCACTCAATGATAACTACATACAAAAGTTAAAATAGAACTATTTACAATTACATTGTATGCAGAAGAAAAAATACTTGAAGTGATAAGCAGTAACTTATTTTCTGAGTATATTATAGTTGTTACACAGCGGTTGAAAAATAATCTATGGCTGGGAAAACAAAAATACAAATTTATGTTTGACACACCAGGAGTCAAGGTTAAACATACATATATCCTTTTTTTCATAGGCAATTTAGTTAGGTGTCCTGACCAGTTTTAAGTAACCTCAGTGCCTTTTCCAAATTATTAATTGCTTCTGGTATATCATCATAATTCAGAGCGCTACCGGCAAATTTGCAATATTTTTGAGCTTTAGCTGTAAGTGCAGGATCTAATTTTGCATTTGAAGTCACTGCAAACACATTTTATAAAATTTAAAAAAAAATCAAGAAAATATTATTTTAAGTATGAACAGAATCATTTCTAATAGTTAGAAAATCAGTATACCTGAGGTAGTATCTTGAGAAGGATAACTTGTAAAATTAGTATTGAATTGCGGAGCAGGGGTAATATTTTGTGGAGAAACATTTTCAGGTTTTGCTGGAGGAATAGACGGACCAGAAATATTCTGTGTAAAGTTAGAAGGTGGCACTTGAAAACCTAAAAAAATTTTTTAATTTTAATTATTTACATTAAAATATACAAATCATGTACAAGTAGAACAAAGTGAATTCATCTAAAATAATCTAAGACTAATTATGTAAACAAACAAAATATATCAGCATTGGGAATAAAAAATGAGAATTTCCTATAAAGGGTTCTGGGTCATGATCAATTCCTTTTATTCCTACCTCTATCTGTAAAATATATCTGCAGACTGAGCTCAATCTTAACGATAATTAGAAAAATAACTGTTTAAAATACACATTTTATATATTTAAATTGGAAAGTGATGCTTCCATGAAATCTTGCTCTGCCAGGAATTTCATTTTCCTTAATTTTCTATAGAATTTACAAAGTATACACCAAAATTATTAAAGGTGATGATTAGAGACCAGATTTTCATGCAGTAAAAAACTCAAAATGTGAAAAATCGTGCAGTGAAAATTCAAAATACGTAAAATTGTGGAACACCTAAAAACGTCATCAATATTGTTTAATCTACAACATTAATACATTGAAATATTATAAGATCTAGAGTTAACTAAGAGATATAAAAAAAAAAAATGAGATGTAACATTAAAAATGAAATTCCAGATTATTATCAAATAATGCAGAACATTGAAGATTTGAAGGAATAAATCAAGGCAGGAATTATAGGTATCTATATATTTTATAGACCAGATCAATTTTAGATATTTAACTTTTATTAAAAATAATAATGAAAACTTTATTTTTTAATGTTGAAATTTCAAACATTATACCTTCCAAAAAATTTTTGTTAAAATTTGAAGAATTTTTAAAACGTTTTGAAATAGACTGTAATGTTTGAGATTTGATTTTCAAGTGTTCACATATTAGCATTGAAGCTGGTTTTCTAATCACTAAAAAAAATATTTTTGGAGATTGCGTTCCTTCTAAAAAAAAAAAAAACATTCAATTCTTTAATAAGAATATATATATAATATATATACACAATGTGTAATAAATATTTATTATTTTTTAATTTAATTATTCACTTCCTAATTAACTATATCATTGAATTTATATCTTGTTTCTCTTTCATCGAAATGAAGTTTAATTGCAATTTATTGTTGAATTAGAATTTTTTTTTTTTATCCTCATATGACTAAACATTTCATTTAAATGAAATAATTTCATTTCAGAAGGTGTGACACCGACACAAGATTATATGATCTTTCCATTTATTAATATAATAATATTATTATTGTAACCACACCACCAGATCTGACACTTGGCTAGACTTCTACATCATCGACTCAGCACAAAACCTCCTCTCCGCCTCTCAAGTGCCAGTATCCTTTCTTTCATCTCATGATCTGATACAAATAACGTATAATATCCGCACTCCTCCAATCCATCCTCGAACTATCACTTTCCGCCAACTGGATACCCTTACTCGAGAAAAAATATTACCTGATCTAGTAACATTGGATTTAAATGGAATATATCATTGCTCCTCTGTCGACACCATGGTTGATATTCTCACCACCAATCTTCTCAATATACTCAATACCCACGCTCCTCTCAAAACCTCCACTTTCCGTCATCGTCCTGCTCCTTGGATGGGTCAGGAAATTAAGGATCTGCAGAAGAGACGCGACGCTGCACGCAGACGCTTCAGACGGACTAGGCTTGCAGATGATTATCAAATATTCAGAATGCTTCGCAACACGACACAGACAAGGATCCGACAAGCGAAAGCGAACTACTTTCACGAAGCCCTTTCCTCAGCTCCTGATATCAAATCAAAATGGCTTCTACTTCGTAAGCTTTCCCTCTGTGAACCTTCTAGATCCCCTTCCTCAGTTTTCCCAATATCACCTGATGACCTAAACTCCCACTTTATATCGGTTTCCACCTCTTCGTTACCATCCCCTTCCGGCTTTTCTCCAGAGGTACCTTTTAACGACAATAATTTTTATTTTTCCGACACTTCTCCCACAGACCTTATTACCGTTATAATGAAATCCCGTTCCAATTCCGTAGGCCCAGATGGCATTCCTATCAAACTAATAAAATTATGTCTCCCTGAAATCCTCCCAGCACTCCTTTTCATCTACAATTTCTCCCTGCAGAATTCAATATTCCCGACCTCTTGGAAAAAAGCCATTGTCCTTCCTTTAAACAAAAAGCCTAATCCATCCTCTCCCGAAGATTTCCGCCCAATATCAATCCTTTCCAATCTTTCTAAACCCCTAGAAAAGTTGGTGCAATCCCAAGTTTCCAACTTCCTTGAACAATCCAACCAACTCGATCCTCTCCAATCTGGCTTCCGTCCTGGCTACTCTACACAATCTGCTCTGATTAAAATTACTAGTGATATCCAGACTGCAATAGATGACAAAAAATTAACCATTCTTATACTTCTTGATTTCTCTAAAGCTTTCGATTCCATTATCCATTCCATCCTTTTCAACAAACTAAAATCATTATCCTTCTCCAAGAGTTCCATCTCTTGGTTCCAGTCTTTCCTCTCACAACGAACCCAAGCAGTTTCCATACCTAATCAACCTCTATCTGCCTACCTTCCTTTATCCTCAGGAGTTGCACAGGGTTCAAGCATGTCTCCTCTTCTTTTCAGTTCTTATATTAATGACCTAAATGATACAATAATCCATTGTTCCCACCACCTTTATGCCGACGATTCTCAAATCTATTTATCCTTTTCTCCCGCTGAGTTATTGGTGGCATTTGCCAAAATTCAAGAAGATTTAGATCGAATTAATGCCTGGGCCAACTTAAATGGATTAAGGCTAAATGCGGCCAAAACTCAGGCCATTCTCATTGGTTCCAAGCCCCTTCTTAGATCCCACACCAACTTTCCCTCACTCTATCTAAACAACCACCCCATCACCTTCTATCCCTTTGTTAAAAATTTAGGCTTTCTCATAGATCAAACCCTTTCCTGGAATCACCATATCTCTCATATATCCCGCCGTACAATTTCTACCCTCAAACTATTCCATCACTTCCGCCATCTTCTACCCCAAAATACCCGTAGACTCCTAGTTTCCTCTCTCATCTTTCCCCACTTTGACTACAGCTGTGTGGTGTACGATGGCCTCTCGGTGGAACTGCGTGATAGACTCAAAAGACTTATGAATTGCTTCGTAAGATTTGTAATCGGAACCCCGAGACGCTCCCGTGTCTCCCACCACTACACTGAGTTAGGGTGGCTCTTCCCCTCCTTAAGAAGACAATATTTCCTTGGCACTTTCCTTTATCAAATCATTACCGATCATCGTCCTTCTTATGCCTACAACCTTCTCCAATTTAAGTCCTCAATCCATTCACTCACTACAAGATCCCGACCCTCTGACCTATACATCCCTTCTCATAGATCTGCCTCATTCCAAAATTCCTTTATAGCCCGCTCTGTCAACTTGTGGAATTCCCTCCCGATCAAAATTCGACATTCCCCTTCCCTGTACACATTCAAAAACCTCCTATTCGAATTCCTGTTCCAAAAACAGTCAGATACCAGCTAACGATTAATATTATATATGTATTGTGTAGCAATCATATAATCATTACACTTGGTAAGAGATAGTACATGCATTTCCTACTATCGACGTAGGAATTTCAACACACACATTTTTTTGTATTTTTTTTTTTTATTCAATTATAAGTAACTGTTTATTTTCATATATATATTGTATATATATATGTTGTTCAACCCTGAAATATAATTTTGTTCATAGTTCAAATGATTCGTTCATAGTTTTAATTGTTTTATTCATAATTTTAAATGCTCTGTACATAGTAGTATCTGTATTGTATATAGCTTGTGCACCTAAGGTTTTCTTTACTTTTTATTTTATTTTATCAATTTCATTTATTGTTTCAACGTTCAGGCCAGTAATATTCTATTATTTTGTACATTATTGTTATTCTGAAGGGACTTAGTCCCAGAATAAAGTTTTTTTTTCTATCTATCTATCTATTATAAACTAAATAAAAATATTGCATGTTTATAGTTTTATATATACAATTTTTCACATTTTGGATTTTACTGCACAAATTTGGACACATCCTTTTTTTTTACTGCTCATTTTTCAGTTAACTTCCTTTGGTCATCATTATTAAGTAATAAAATCTCACAACATATTACTATGAACTTATAAGTCCAAATTTGGGGGACAAAAATTTTCTTACAAAATGAATAATTAATTTCATAAATCTTATTTTAAACTTGACATAGTAGCCCAAATACAATGTCAGTTACTGTGAAAATAGAGAAAGTAAGAAAACTGTGAGGTAAGAATTTATTTAGCTCCTCAAAAAATGAAGGGCTATGGTAGGACATTGAGGCTGAACGGAAAAAGAGGTATGCAGAAAGGTTTTTCATTCTTAGGGGACTACAGAAATTATTCATTATCATTTTATTACCTCATGACGCTCATCCGGCCATTTCTTACCTACGGTAACCAAACATGGACCTTAGCCACAAATTACGAAAAAGAACTTCTGATCTTTGAAAGGAAAATCTTTAGAACAATATTTGGCCCTATAATGGAGGGACTGGATTGGAGAATTCGCAAAAATAGAGAGGTCTACGAATGGTTCAATGAACCTAATGTGGCCAGAATAATAAAGTTGGGAAAGCTGAGTTGGGCAGGACAAATAGCTCAGATGGAGAGATCTAAAATTCTGATAAGAGTACTTGAGGAGTCATTACACTATAAAGCTGGCAGACCGAAATTGAGATGGGCAGATGGTGTAGCAGAGACATATTGGGAGTCAGCAACTGGAAAGTGGTCGCCCAGAATAGAGAAATTTGGGGAAAGCTCATCGAGGAGGCCAGGACCCACTGAGAGTTGTAGAGCCATTAAGACAGATAGATAAATTTCATTACACTTTTATTTAGGCTTCTTGGATTAAAGAAACAAAAGATCGACCTGTGCACAGCATCACATGTTGCCCGCCATTCTGATAACATGATAATTACAAATTCGTGTCCTAGTGTTGGGGATGGGATCTTTTAACTCAGGTATTAATCCCCCGCCCTCACTACATAACCCAGGAAAACCCCTATAGCTTAAAAGGCTAGGAAGGAGAGGACTAAAAAAAAAAAAAAAAGTGAAGTTATGAAATTAATAAAATGATCATGAAGAATGCCAAGGGCTGACAATAACCAAATTTTATTTTTGTTTATATTGTATGAGATTTACACATAATATATATATATATTGTAAAAATAACTCTTGATTCAGGCAAACAGCAATATTTACCAAAATAAGTATAAAAATCTATCAATAAATAAAAAATAATTACCTATATTAGGTTGAGGAGCATTATCTGTAAAATTATTCAGGAAGTCATTTTCTTTGTCTGAATCCATTGGGCCAGGAATAGGTGTTTCCCCATTCTTTAAACAATTATGAATATACGCTGCTTTCCACTTGGCATATTTGCAGTTCCTTGCTATCTCATCAGTATGTTCACCAAATGTTGTCAAAACATCCATTAACATACCTGCTGTATAAAATGCTTTGACAACATTTCTATAAAATAGAAATTAAAACAAATATTAAAAACAAATAAACATGGTGTCTGAGAATAGTAGAGAGAAGTAGTAATGAGTATGACCCCTAAAAACTTTTAATACTGCTTCACAAGTGACATATCTGGTTTTCAGATGGGTCAAGATCACATCAATCACATTGTACACATAACCGCAAAAGTAGTAAAGTGCAACCAAATTTGTTAACCCCTGAGAGTGTAGCGAGCCTACCCTCAACCATAGTTGCCAACACTCAGCTATTTTTGGAATCTCATCTATAGTATGACATATTTTTTAACCTATCCCCATATATTTAAGATCAGTTTTAAACCCACATATGCTAATTACTAGGTTCTTTTTAAAGACACAAAATGTCAGTATTTTTTCAATAAATAGTTGTTAAGCCTAATACGGTTGTTATAGCTAACATTAATAAAAAATTAATTTAATTTTAAATATGTCAAATAGGCTTTTAATCAATACGCTGAATATTTGGATTTAGGCCTAATATTTTTCCTTGAGTCTGTCCGTATCAAGATTACTGTTTGGTAGGAAAGCAAAGGGGATAGTGCATGTCTAAAGGTTTTATATTAAATAATTAGGCATATTAAACTTAATAGTTTTAGACATACTTAGCAAAAACAAATGATTTACATACTTAAAAAAAAACTTATTCATAAATTCTCTTGCCACACAAAAGCTGGCACTCAGGGCAAATGCCCACTTAACTCTTTTGAAATCTGGGTCTATTTTCCTCCTATTTGCCAGTTGAATGTTATATGTGAAGTTTTCAATTACTTAATTCTTGCTAACAAATACTTCTTAATGACAAATATAGTAGACTCTTGGTAATCCAAACTAATAAAAGCCAAGAGGAATTAGATTATCAAAAAAATTGGATCATCAAACAGTATTTTCTTGAAACTCGTGTTTAATTGTATCTTCTGTCATTGTTTTAACAATAAAATTTCGTACTCAAGATTAATTTATTGAAAAGATTAGTTATATCCACCAATAAAAAAAAAACTAAGAGAATAAATACACTTACAAATTTTAAAATGTGCATAGCTTGAATTTTATTTTAAATAAAAGGAGTTTGAATTTTTAATTAGATTATTTACAAACACATAAGGTGTTGATAATACAATATTTTTCAATGATTCTATATAAACACTACATACATATAGTCAAATCTTCAATTTTTTAATTTAATTTTTTCAAGGGGTGGTTTGAATTATGGAATGGTCCAGATTAGTGAGAGTCCACTATAATAGGTATACAAAGAGGTTGCGTAGCAAGGATGAGTTGAAGTATGGTTTCACTATAATAAAAACATTCATTATTACTAAAACATCTGAATACACTAATAACAGATATTAATATTACTGAACAACCATTTTAGTAGATTGCTGGTCAGGGGTTGATTTAAATTTAAAAAACCATAAAAAGACTTATTAATTTTTGAAAAGCCATTTTTAAACATAAAACATACTACAATATTTTCACTTGACAATGCAATGATCTTAAAAATACATAAATCTAATTAAACTAACTTGTTAAACACAGCAGCTCTATCTTGGCTATCTGCCCAAGTAAATAGTTTCAATGCATAATTTTCTAGATGAGCTTGAGCTGCAACATCATTAGTTATGGCTTCATTATCAGACAGCAATTGTTTCTGCTTTTCAAGCCAATCCATTAAAGCAACAAGCAAAATTCTCGCATCTTCTGACTTCTTGTCTATTTTTAATGCATTTTGCAGAGCATACAGTCGACCTATAATACAAAACAAATATTAATAATAACGCTAAAATAGAACAAATACAAGAATGACCAAATATTTAAACTTACACCAATAAGTAACGATAGGATCCCTCCCTTCATGTTCAGATGCAGTTTTCAAATAATGCTGAATGGTCTTTAATGACTGTGGAATAGGTGGCAAAGTCAAAGCCATGATAATTTAAAACACATATAGACGTTTTAATAAATTAATATTTCAGTGTCAAATAAATCCCAAAATGTTTGGGATTGACCGATAACAAACTCACGTCATTCAGTAATGATTACAGGTTAGCTCAAAGAGAAACAACTTTAGTATCGTTAGATAGCTGACTGAATCGAAAAACTTTATTTCAATTAATTTGACTTCAGTCATACTCTGTGGTGCATAATTAAAATTAAGAATATCAATTGTAGCTTATATTATAATTCAAGCAAAAACTAGCCTTTATTTTAGTCCACCAAGAAAGAGCAAATTTCTTAATTCAGATCTGAGCTCATTGCTTAATTAGCCTAGATAGAATATTAGGAAGTTCCACACGTAATGGGAAAAAAGGGCAGGATTATTTGTAAATACAGCGTTCCACTTGTTCTACATAAACGGTGATGTTTCAATGAAAGATATACTGGAGATTATCAAGAAGGTTCAGCCCTAAAAGATCCACAATAAATCAAATTTTCTCCTTTAAGTAGTCATGTGAAAAGACCAAAGAATTTAATTATTCGATGTTTATAGACTTCAAGATCCCCTATAACACAATTTCTGGATGCGAGCTCCTCCAAGCTATGAAATGATTGAATACTACAACCAAATAAATGAGGTTAGCAACCAGCATTGTTTGCATTGTAACACGACAAGAAGAGTCTAACCAATAGTCTGTGGGCTAGATCCTCCTATAAATCGCATATCCTTGTGTTTCTTGTAACTATTTATTAAAAAAAAGCCAATGTTCCCACAAAAAAAGTAAACGAACTGCCCCAAAATGGCGTAAAATATGGCGGACTGACGACTTCGACTTTAGTTAGTTTTTTGGTCACTGAGAATTAGCATTTGGCTTAATTTCATCATGGTTGGTCTTTTATTAAAGCTGGATAGTCAGTGAATAATAAAACTTAAAAAAATAATTGGCTTAAGCTATGAAAAACACCAGTGAAGTCAATTTTTTTTAACAAAAAAAATTTCAAGTTGAAAATCAAGCGTCGTTTGAAATTAAACGGCCAACAATAACGCAAAACGTGCTTAAATAAAACATCTGGAGAATATATTTATCTTTCTAAAACACTGGCTACTTTTCAAAATATTTGAAATAGTTCAGTAGAAAATGCACTTGAGCGGCAGAAAAGCGGTACTTGACGGCGTAGGTGTCTTCAGGCCTCTACCACACCATTCAGTACTTATACATGTTTTAGTTATCGTGCTATAATAGCGTGTTTGGTACATGAAATTTATTTTATTAACGAACAAATATCAATACAATAATTGAGTTATTAAAAAAAATTGTATTTTCAGCCAACTTTCAAAATTGTTGTCAACTTAATGACTACATATCTGATTACGACGTTTCGGCTCGTTGAGCCATTTTCAAGCCTGAAAAATTCTTACAATTTACAGTCATATTTAAAACATTACATACTTCAACATATAGAGATTCATTTTATATACCTAAAATACCAATCATGTACCTGTCCTTTTCAACTTATGCGAATTGCATGCGTCTACTCATGTAAAACAATTTTATTTTTGTCATGTCCACCTTTACTTATTTTATAACATTATTATTACTCAATTATTTATTATTAAATGATTCAAATAAGTTAAAATTACCTTATAATGTGTCCCCGACATCTCATCAGCCTCATTTCAGTATCGTGACTGGTTACTCTTAAAGGAGTAGGGGAAGATTATTTATTTTATACATATTCATTCATAATTCATACATTATACAGGTTATATTCATTGCACTGTTCATTTTGAAACAGTGAGTATACAGCAATTTGCTTCTTTTTATCATCGCAACTAAAAGTCAAGCAGCTAATTTTCCTAGTGCAAGTCTACTGGTGATAATAGTTGGTAACACATTCAATCAAGGAATGAATGAAAAAATCTTTATTGTTCTGGCACACAAATCCCTTTAGAACAAATTATTAGTAAATTTTAAGTGCAGTCGAACTGTCTTCGACTTAATTTGTTCATATCCATTAACACAATAATAAATATAATTACAAGAAGTATAACCTGGAAGAAAAATACAAATAAAGAAAAAAAGAAGAAAAAACGTAGCCTACAAAAAGTAAACAGACGATAACAAAAAAAAAAATTATAAGAATCCTTTGAGTATTAACAGAAATATCTCAAAAGTATATTTTAAGTTAAAAAAATCTTAGTTAAAATTATTCACACTTGGCAAAGACAAAGGAGAGATTTGAATGTGGAAAACTCAGTTACATGGTGTATGACGGGTGAGATTGAGTTTCAGAGGGAGGCCACTCTGGATAGGAAGGACTTGTCAAACGCAACAGTTCAGTCGGGAGGAGGGTAGAAATCAGAAGGATGGTAGGAGTGCTGTCATTGCCGCAGATCTCGGTGGGACGATGATCTCCCCTTCCCCCTAAATATAAATATTGAGGGACGAGAATATCATTTCGCACCCCTCAATAATATGAGGTAAAAAAACAAATTATCTACATGAATGTATAAAATGTTATAAATTAAAATCGATTAGAAAATAGAGAAAATCGATTAGCTGGCTACGCTAAGGCATAGAAGTAGGTACGTACTATACCGCCCCCTTAATATTCCTATTATTTAAATTATTTATATTCAGATATAATAATACACAGTAACGTATCCTAGGGATTTATGATTCTTTCATTCTTATGCACCCCTTCAGTTTCGTATGATATCCCTGTCACATTTTCCCTGGTATAGTTGAATAGCAACAGCGGAAATTCGTCTTACTGCCTCAAACTTCGAAGTCTTGAGATACTTCTTTTATAGGAAACCAACATTTAGGACAGTTGGTATGGGCTGTAGTTGCGCCATTAAAATTTTTGGGGAGGGATATTTTGAAGGGTTATTGAATTTTTGAGGCGTGCAAATTTCGAAATCTCGAGTTCTGATTTTTCGGACTAATGGACAAGGAGTAACATATGGGACTGACCGCAGCAAGAGTATTTATATATGATCTACGATTTTTTAAATTCTATCTTAGCTGGACCAACAGACCTCTGTTTTAAACCTCTCTGTTTTAAAGAAAGGTGAGCAATAAAATACCTCGGGAAGAGGAGAGGGATAGTTTCTTGCGAATTTTGTTTTCCTCTCTTCCACACATTCTAAATAAAATTAGTTCTACCAGTACTTAAAACGAGCTTCGTTTCTGGAATATGCATCGTTAAAATGTTAAAGAAAGCAGTCACTCAATAATTTTAAGTTATTAACGCTAAATATTTCTGCTGTAAATCTCATCACACTTTCAAAATTTAGTTTCTCTGGTATGTACGATTACACTAAATAATTATACCTTATATTAATATGCACTCTATCATAGAGATGGGCAGTACTCGATTACTTTCATGATTCGAGTACTTTTATTATGAAATAGTTGCGATCAGTTTCTGTACTCGGCCCGACCACGGCGGGTACTGAGAGTGAGTACTCACACTGCATTAATCATACGTTAGTTAAGTTCAGAATGTCCTCGCGGTGTTAGTTCCGATTACATAAATTATTCAGCAAAATTTTTTGTAAGTATTTTTTTATTTTTCAACTTCTACATCATTATTATGAGTTTAGATATTTTCTTTTAATTCCTTAAATAATGGTGTCTATATTGGGGTTATATAAGACCCACTCAATCAATATCATGGTCTAGTATTATATTGTCGTGGGCATTTTTTATGAAAATGCTATCGGATTTGAGACTGCTCAACCATGAATCATGTTTTTCTAACTTTTCGGATTTAATAGATATTAAGGTCCTATATTATGATATAGAAGAGCTTTTTTTAAGAACATATATTTATTCGGCCCCCAAGGTACTTAAAACTTGAGACATTTTCAAAGTAGATGTTACCAACTATGTACCTGTTCTGGGGATGCCTCAAATTATTTTTCCTCAACCATTATCTTTGTCTTCTGGATGTTTACTTGATGACCAAATGTCTGAGTCTTTTCCTGGAATCTATCAAATGAATCTTGGATGTTTTAGAGTGACCTTCTAGGGATGGTGACATCATCAGCATATGCTAGTAATTGACAGCTTTTATTGAATATGGTTCTCCAGACCAGTGAGACCAGTGTTGACACGGAATGTGCGGGTTAGCTCCCCGTTCACTTTAACACTACTGACACATTGTGCATTTATTCAGTCTGATGAGCGGATCTGAAGATACGGATTTCTATCATTGTCCGACATAATTCTTCTCTCACAATGGTATCATAAAGTCAAAAAATATAATCTACATTGTATTCTGAAACTCTTTCATGTTTTCGTCCATTTGCCTCAGAGAGAAGATTTGGTCAATGGTGGATCTATTTGAATCCACCCAGGTAATCTGCAAGGTTTCTTTCAATATAATACAATAGGCGGTTATAGAGAATAACTTGTATAAGATATTTAGCAAGGTTATCCCCCTAAGTTTTCACAGTCCTTTGCATTTCCCGTTTTAAAAATTTATATTAAAAAAAGGACAAGGTTTTCAAGATTAAAATTTCATTATCAATAAGTACAGTGGTAGGACTACATATGAAGAAAAAATTAAAGTTGTGAGTCTTTTCTTTATTACACTTTTGCAGCCCTAAAATTCACTTTTTTTTGCCTATATTCATGATTTTTTTAAATCACTTTTCTTTCTTTTTAGTCGATGTACTGATCAACAGAAATGTAGAAAAATAGTCTCAATTATTTCAGTTTTTATTTTGTCTTGATACCTACAAAATAACCAGAGTTACAGGCATTTTCCCATAACATGTTTTCAGTCGAAAAATAAAATTAAAAATGACCGCTCAGAAATAACTATTAAGTCTTAAAATAGTTTTAACACTCAAATAAATATGAAATAACTAGTAGAAAAATTATAAAAATCAAAATTGTTGAGCAACATGGTCTGGGTGATTTCAAATGGATTGACTCCGGTATTTAAATTTCCTAAGAAATGAAGAAAGTTTCATAGAAATCGGAGCACTACTAGTAAAGATATCGCAATTTTAAAATATTTTTGGTTTAATATTTTCAATATTGAACCGTTGTAATCGAACAAAACATTCAAAAACTTAAGTCCCTCTCAAAATTTGAAGTTTTACGTTTCAGAATTAGAAAAACGAATAAACATTTTTCTGTCCGTCCGCTGTCCGCGCATTTTCTCCGAAACTACAGGTCTGATTTTTTTCAAATTTGAATTTAAACTCAGAAGTCCCCCGAGGATGATCCTCCTTCATCGACATTACTATCCGCCTAAACGTTACTTACTTAAAATTAATTAATTTTAGTTGGATATCTTGACCTTACCCAAGTGTTATTTTCATCTTGGCATGTTTGATGATATACATCCAACCATTTAATATATCAACAATTTTTATCATCTTTTGAAAACCGACTGTACTTGACATTGTTGTTCAAATTGGAGGCCTTGGTGGCCGTGCGTGTTCAAGCGCTGCGACATTCTCGTGTTTAGCGGCTCCGATTTGAATCCGACCAGGGCAGGTTGAAGTTATTTCGGAACGGACCAATGGAATAAATCTCGACCTTCCCTCTCCACAAAGTGGGATGAGTCAAGCAAATCTCGCGACCAAATTTCGTAATTTCTATATGACTTAAAAATGGATACAAATTTTAGTAAGTTTTTAAGCGGTTCCAAAAGATTAAAATTGTAATAAATATCTTCAAAAGCTGACGAACTTTAATTTATGTGGCCTCGAAATTCGATGTTTTTAAAAACTTTGGCTTCTCTGTTATAATGCTATTTATTTTATCTTTAAAATATTGTATAATTAGTACAATGCATTCAGAACGTTTTAAAATAACAACAAACAAAATCAAGATAATCAGTTTTATTACACAATTTATTTCCAGATTTAAAATTTTCATTGTTATACATTTTCAAAATTCAACAATTACTCAATTGTATTTAAATTTATTGAAAAAATAGCATTGAAAATTTGTAGTAAGGTATTATTTGAATGTGAATTTCATCCCATCTCAGCCGGCTTTAGAAGTTATTATTGTTTAATTATAAAGAGTTTAGTTTAGGTTACTGTTTAATTTAAGTTTTATTAATTATCCTTAGTCTATTGTTTAATTAAATATTTTATGGGGCTTTAAATAAACCTGTTAGTATAAATTGTATACATGAATAATAAATGTTTTAATTTTGATTATCTATAACTAAAACATATGTTAAATTGATAAAGTGGATACATGAGGTTTTCTGTTTATGCTTGTGTATATCTTCATTAGGATGAAAATATTACAGTGTCTGAGGAATTTCAATTTATTTTCTATTTTATGTTTCAAATATTATGAAACAAATATTGCTATGTATTAAAAAAAAAAAATCTACTATTTTTTCTACACTTGTGAAAATGTTGTACATACATTATTTAATATACGAAAATACAAGCAAGTATTTAATTTTTACAAGTGTGAAATAATCGAAAATACAAAATCACTAAGTAAGTTTTGCTCTCAATTGTAAATTTGCTTCAAATCAGAAGGTTGGAAGTCTGTAGATTACATAATGTTATCAAAATTTAATATTATAACTCATATTTGTTTTGAAGAATTGAAAAACAAAGATGGAAAATAAGGTGATAAAAAATTAAATTCTATTTTGAAAAGAAATTAATTTATTTACAATAATAATACCAACAGTGGGGCAAAATAAAAGTATATCATATAGATGTCCGTTCAACGAACAATAGACTCTTCATAATTCGATGACTAGAAAATACATATGGATATCCTCACAATATAATAATAATAATAATAAAAAAATTACCATCAATAGCAAAAAGCTAATAATAGAATAACAAACAACTTGGTATGTTATGACAACACTTTTAAGTCAACAATTAAGCAAATATTTTAAACAATAAGTCAATTCGTTTCAACTATTTTTTTTTTATAATTTCACATTTTTAGAAAAAGTAAAAAGTGGAAGTATATGTTTCGATAACTTACACTATAAACATAGATTATATATTCTTTAATTACATAGTAGTAATAATAGGAATAAATATGGTTGGCTATAATTACAGTCACATCTATAGCCCTTCTATAATAAAAATAAATAAGTAAACATGATAATTTAAAAATAAAATAAAAACTGACTAAAAAGGGCTAAAGAATGATTTCGAGCCAACATGAGGTATATAGATAAATTATGAACTTTAATTCTAAAAAAATGAAAAATTGGACTAATAATAAGAGGTCGTAGGCCTTTACCTCAACTCTTCTTTGGTTTACAATGGTAGAAGGTTAACTCAACAATTTCTCTCGAGAAGATTGCACCTCAAACTAATTAGAACAAATAGTCGAACATATTAGTTCTGTACACCAAAAAAACACAGCATAACAAACAGAGCTTAAAAACATGAACAATTGATTCGATAACTATTCAGGTTACTTTAACAGAACAATTGTCAACATCTTAAAGCTCTTAAATAAGAAGAAAACTTGATGACCTTTTCATTCAATTTACTAAAGAATACATGTTGTGCATACATAATTTGTATAAAATATTGTTCTTTTCACAGGTTGATCAAATAATATAAAAATTTATCTGTTGATTTAATATAACATCAGACAGAGCATTTAAAAAGCTCATTTCAGATTACAACAATAAAATAATAATTAAATAATAAAAAATAAATATTTATTGGAGTATACATTTTAAAAAACAAAACAAAAGAAAAAGAAATTTAATAAAACCTTTAGACTAGTTTTTACTATTCACCTCTATAAAAACAGAATTAACAGAAAACTATTTGTTTTGACACCGTTTAATATAGCTCCAATAAACATTTATTTTTTCCTGAAGTGTTCATTGAATGTAGCAAGTTTTTTCAAATTAACAACTCAAGAGAAATAAGAATCCCTTCTTGTAAAAGTTAGGCATCATACTAGATGGGCCAGGGCTATGATTTGAATGTGCGTATAACATCTCGTATGACTGCCCTACATAATGGGCAATGGCCGCCTCCCTTCCCCCTCCACTGTTGGAGCGAACAGTCATAGCACATACACATATGACCACATGTATATAGGACGGAGTCCACCTGTCGTTCATAACAGACAGAACAGTCTGGTCCTTCTCCACCACTTCCAGGCCTCAAAGTCTCGGCCCAATGCCTTAGGTCTGGAGGAGGAGTTCGGTCGGTACTTGGACTAGGACCAAAACCTGCTCCGCTCACAGGCTGGAAAAAAAAATTAAAAATATTAAATACACAACTATAAATGTTAAATAATAAATAATTAAGTTAATATTAAAAGAGGTAGTCAATACTACATTGAATAAATCATCGTGTTATAATTATTTTTACTCGAACAAAAAAGATATTTATTTCTTCATAAAATGATCTTGTCACACTAACTTATTGAAAACTATTATAAAAATATACAGTATATCTATGACAAATCAACCCTCCCAACATCTTAATTCTTAAATTCTTATAATAACTTCAATAAAAATCACTGTAAAAAGAAGGAGGTTTCAAAGATCCAATGTAGTTAAGTTGTTAGAGCGAGATGAGATAAATTGTGTTTGAAAAAACAAAAATGTACCACTTTCATTAATGCTTCAACAAATCCAATAATTGAGCCATCATTTTTCAGATTATATTCTCTTTCAGGTAAGAAAAATCAGCGCTTCTCAAAAAAGATAGGCAAACATTAAGAAGAAAAGAAAACTTTTGTGTTCAAAAATTCAAAAAGTATACCATTTAGGATTGATTATATCCATGATGATTCAAGATTTTTTAATATTATTCAACACTGAATGTGAATTATTCCCATGGGCAACTAGTTTAGTATATTGTTTTTCACTTGGTGTGGAGAGGGTTAATAAATTTCTAACATGGTCTCAGAAATTACAATAAAGATCTTAACCTAGTAGTGGTGGCATGCTTCAATATATTACAAGTTTCAACAAATCTGATGAAACATTAGTTTTAATGTGATAATTACCTCGATGTAGGTGGGACTGTAGACAGCCACTTGTGACTGATGGGATGCTGGTGGGGGCCTGACTCCTGGTGGAGGCAGGCTGACGACTAGTACTGTTCCACCTCCCACACCAGGTGCAGTAGCAACGGTAACTGGACAACATTGATCCTGGGGGGCTCCTCTTCTAGGTGGAGATACATCTAAAAAAACAAACATCATGTTTAGATCATAAGTGTTTATCTCGTATATTTTATTTTAAATAATGCTTCATAACAATATTTTAAGAAATGAAAATGAGCAAACAAATAACTAAAGGTTAAAGTAATGCAAGATAAATGATCAGATTAGTAACAATATCCTGGGACATTCGATTTGATTCTAGATATCACCAACACATATACTAAGTTTTATTTAATTGTTTCTTAAAATCATATTTAAGAATGAAACAAGACAATTATTTTTATTTTTCATTTTAATCAATTTACTCTAGTTAATGAAGAGAAGGATGGTTGGGGGTGATCAGTCAGAAATAAAAAGACAAAAATAGCTTATAATATTTATTTTAACATTTACCGACGTTTCGACCTGAGGTTCAGGCCTTCATCAGGGATGTTCGAAGAGATAGTTGGAATTCGAATATTAATTCAAACTATCTCTTCGAACAGCCCTGATGAAAGCCTGAACTTCAGGTCGAAACGTCGGCAAATATTAAAATAAATATTGTTAATTATTTTTGCTTTTTTATTTCTGACTGATCACCCCAACCACCCTTCTCTTCATTGTTCACGACAGTCAACCACCTACTCTAGTTAATGATGTTTATTTAATAAAATTCTTACTTTGTTGGACTGGAGGAGCTGGAGGTGGCTGTTGTTGAGGTATATGAGACATTAACCTAACTCTTTGCGTTGATCCATAAACATCCAGAAAAGCCCACAGTGTCAGAGACTCATCCACGTGCATCACAGTAACCTAAACAATTAAACAGGATTTAGTGATTGAATTTTTAACTAACTAATTAATTAAATAAGCTGAACAACATTTATTATTAATCAAATTTATTAAAAATGGCTGGTAATTTAAAATTAACTAACCTGTGGACCTGAATTTTTGGAGACAACGACTTCTCCTCTTCTGGTAACAGTAAATGAAAGTTCATCGCCAGGTTGGGGAGCCCACCCAGCAAGGTCTTTTGATAGAACCCAATATTCTGGTCGATCAAGCAAGCAGTCAGGGTCTTCTGGTAAGTCACGATGGGGGTCAAGAGTAGCTGGATCACAAGAGGTAAGCCCGAGGGTCAGTGCTCCCATATAGTGAGGTTCTGTATTCAGTACCTATGGAACAATGGTTATTAATTTAGTTGAAGTAATAAATATAACACTAAATTTTATTAAATTTGCCAGTAAAATTATTTTTGTTTAGCTTTTAACATTTCATTACACAAACTAACCTGAATTACTAGCCGCTCTCCAAGCTGGATTGGCCTGGCAGTGAAGACATAACCATTACAAAATTCTGTTTCTAATCTGCTAGCAACAGTCCTATCAGTAGAAAGTCTTATGTTACGCCCTCGAACCCTGAACAAATACAGAAATTCAATGTAAGATAATAGATAATATGATCATTACAAATTCTAAATTTTTAAAACTATGATCAATTAAAAAATATAAGCAAAAATAATTTAATTGGAATTATAAAGGTACAAACCTATGAAATGGGAAAGGTGTGAACTTGCTGTTGTGGTGTTGAAACCTTAGTGGAGGAATTTCTGCAGGATGGGTGTCTGCTGCCACAGGTTGAGGTGTGACTGGTTGGGGTTGCAAAGACACATTCGCCAAAGCAGGGGTTATAATGCGGTCAACTTCATCATCACCATGTCTAAAAAAAAAAAATCAAATCATGAATACTTAATAAATTAAGATGTAGTCTTAATATATTTGTAGTAAAATAACAACAATCAAACCGATTTGACGAAGTTAATTTAAATTTAATACTTTTAAAGGATGTACCTTCAATAATCAAACTCAGAAGAAGTTTAACAGGATTAATATTCAAAATAAAACAATCACATCTTTGAAAAAGTAATAAGAATGTGAGAATTTCATTTTAGCTTCCTTGAGCATTTTATTTCATAATATATACAAAAAATAAATTTTCATATGATTATTATTTGTGTAATTTTTAAGTCTCACCTCCTAGAATTGTTAAGATGATGATTAGAATCCACAAATTCAACTGCCGTCGAATTCCCGTATATATCAAGCATGGCCCAAAGTTGCCCACGGGTATCCACACCGGAGAAAAATATGCCTTTCTCTTCTCCATTTACACCGAAATGGACATCACCAGCAGCAGTGACATAGTAGAAGAGAACAGCATCCCTCTCACACAGCCTTTCTGCAAGAGCTTTAGCCCAATAACCGGGTTTGTTGGTAAGATCTGTAAAAAGAGTTAATATTTTAAATATTACATAAACTACTAATTGTAGAAATAAAAAGATAATGTATCAAAAGGAGAACTGAATATAAAATGAATATTTTACCTGGGCAAGCATACTTGGGAAGATTGTAACGGAGGGTCCCTGGGTCATTAGATGTGAACCCAAACCTAAGGACACCACTCCAATTCGTTGAGACTTCGAGGAACTTGATGCAAATCTGTAAATAAGTAATGCTATTTAATATTTATATGACATGATCAGAACATATTTTATTCATTTGGTCATAATATTATTTAAATTTTATTTAATATAGAAATACAAAAAAACGGAGAGGCTTAAATGAGAAAAAAAGTTCAAAATATTAAATGGAAGAGTATGAGGCAAATTTTAAGGTTTCATAAATTCCTTTAATCAAAAATTCTGACAGGAAAATGGAGAAATTCAGGCAATAAATTCACTTTGACAATACTAGGACTACAAAATTATTAAATATGACTAAACATTATTATTATCGATGTTAAATTCCTCACCTTTTCTTGTAGCCTGACGGGTCTGGCAGAGAAGGCGAGCCCCTTGCAGAAGCTCTCGGTCCTCTTGGCGACGCTACCATCGCGGTACAATCTCACATTCTCTCCATGGACAGGATGGAACTGCAACGGCGGCAAGTTGCTTGCAGGGTTTGGTCCACTGCTTACACGGCCTGGAGAAGTCAAATATGTTATTGGCTTCTGAAGAGATATCATTATGTAAGGAAGCAATGGAAGGGTAAACAAAACTAGAGGATAAAAATATTAAAATATTATTCAATAACCGTACCAACACGAATACTAGTCAGACCCAGCTGTTAATTTTGTAATTATAATTAAATTAATCATTATTAAATATTAAAAAGCAAAAAATGTTTCTTAAACACAGACGCATTGCCACAGCGATACTGAAAAGAGAGAGGACTGTAAAGAAAAGAAATCCATTGGGAGTGAATCGTAACCGTAAATAAATTACAAGTGTGACGGTCGCGCCCAGTGGCCTCCACAGTGAGCACCACTGCTTCTTCAATCCATCGGTCATTACTCAGTCCAAGACTGCTCTATTTCTTTGATTCCAAATATTCTTGTATTATTTCAGTTGAAACTGATATAGATATTAGTCTAAAAGAAAATAATAAGTGTAGATTACTATAATTGTGAGTTGATGGTTGACTGTAGTGAATAACTGAAGAGAAGGATGGTTGGGATGATAAGTCAAAATGAAATAGTAAAAATAAATAATTAATCATTAATTAATAGTAAAATTAATCAGTAGATTACTATAGATTTGGAATACTAGAATTAGCTATTCAGTTGATTTTTCCAGGTTTCAATTGAAAAATGATACATAAAAATCATTTTCAAGGTAATTATTAAACATCGTGTAGAGCTTAAAATTAAAAAAATAAAACTCAATTTTTTATTTATTTTGAAATTAATCCTTGTTGTGTTTTTTACATTGGCTGGAATGGATTATAACTGTATGAGTTAATACAAAATTCATAAAAGCTTCAATGCTTATTTTCTTTCATAGCTCCGTTTAAATCGACTAAAGACATTAAAAATCAGAGTAGTTCTTAGAAGTAAATTTCTACTCAAAGTAACTAAACAGATATTTAAATAAATGATGTTTGCGATAGGCATTCAGTTAAGTAAAGAACAAGAGAAATTTTAGATAGACTATTATAATGAATTTCAAATTTTACAGATGTTTAAATACTCCATAATACTAAAAAACCTGATGCTCTATTACTAGTGTTTTAATTTTCTGCAGCAGACAAAAAAGAAATCCAGAAAATGAATTCAGATAAATATGTATTTATTTTCTATATAATGATTAATGCTAAACCCTAGGCAGTGAAAGTATAGTTATTATTTCAAAATAACAGAAATAACCCTAATACCAATACTATTTTATGTTGTAACAGGAATACAACTTGGAACATCTGGCTCAAGGTGGCACTGGAATACAAGAGGCAGCAGCAATAGTAAAGGAAAGACAGGAGCAGATACAGGAGGCATTGTGCGCTGTCCTTTATATAAGTTAATAGAGTTATGATGGCCGCTCTGGATGCCCCTCCGCCCAATTTTCTGTCATTAACCTCGCCCGTGCTCTACCGTAGGGTTCCTTCAGTCACGGTTCTCCGTCTTTCTTCTACCTTCTGCCTCTACCCCTATTTGACCAATTACTCTTTGGCTTCGCGGGGTATGAGTGTAACAGTACGCCATAACGGTGGATCCGTTACACTTATTAAATCGGAATAAAAATTCTCAGTAAGGCCCGAGTTATTTCATTACACGGTGGTTCTTTCATGAATTCCAAAGAAACGCAATCTGAAGAGGTTAGCCTCCAGGTCTTTAGTTCCTATTCACGTAAAGGTGAGTCATATATGACATACCTGAAATAGACAGAATAACTACTTTCCTAAGAGTTATCTCAATTGTAATTTCTTATATATCTACAGCTATTTGGTAGACAAAATAAACAAAAGGAAAAATTAAAATGAATTAATAATAATCGTGCTGTTACGGTAAAATTAATTCCGATGCTGAGTACTACCTTAGCATAAGGAAAAACAAACAATATGTAAAGTTGAATCATGAGAGCTGCGATGTTCATCTGCACTTTTATAAAGAACCGGGAGGATGATGCCATCCCCAGAAGGTAATTTACGCCTGAACTCGGGTCAACTACATCCTTACATCACCTCGTGTAGTGATGCAAGATATCGTGAGTGGAATAGAATAAAAATAAACAGTGATATAGAAACTGCACAAAACGTAACCGGTAAGACATATAGATGAAGATACGTTGCCATGGTAACGGAGCTCGCTGGCTCATGTATTGACTGAGGGGTCAGTATTACCAACCGATGCTTCCTTTGCTGGCAACACTGAGACTCCTCAGGGTGACGTCAGGCAAGGTCACGACCTCTCTTCATCAGCTCTCTTTTCCTGCCAATTATCTCAATCCCACTCACCAATTCATTGCTTTCACGTCTCCGCCGTTAAACATGAGAACCGAAGGGAGAGAAATAAAAAAAATACCAAACCCAGGAATGAGTTTTAAAAGGTTTCTCTTCTGCATTCCGCCATCTTCTTCGATGATCCAAGAATAGCCGATGCTGCAGCCATTAACCATTGAAACTACAGGTTAAAAGGAGTGGATTATCAATTCGGAAATCGTGGGCGAGCACGAAACCCACAGTTCTGATAATAGTTCATTCCTAACCTCGGATAAAAGGCATTTAGAGGACTAACAGAAGAGTTCTAAAACTAAATTTTACATATTATTTTTTTAAAATATCTGCCGGACGACAAATAAAAAATTGATTAAATAACAATAGCTTATCGAAATGTACAAGTTTATGATATATTCATCCATTTCCACGTTTCACCAAAGTAAAATGATTAAAACCAGTAAAGTGAGTAGTGAAAATGAGCTTAAATTTATTTGTTAATACTGTCTCCAATTTTAAAATACACGGGAAGTATCAAGGAAAACAGCTTAGTAAACAATTCATGTTTGTAGGCCATTGAAGAAGGTGTAGAGAGGGTTTATGCAAGGGTACGGGGGGCAGCTCTTCAGCTTATTTCCCAACTCAGACTTTACTAGCCGCACATTCCTTCCTCCCACATCCACTACGTGCTCAGTTCCACCTTAATCAACTGTTCCATAGCCCCAAGTCCTAGGCGACTCCTGTTAGAACTACCTGGTTCATCAACGGTCCCAGACATATTGTGTCTACCTACTCTTGTCCCAAGTAAAAAGAAAGAAATGGATACAGCAATAAAAACTTCAAAATTGCTCCCTTGTATATTAGTTTCAGTTGTCACTACCGGACATTTTATTTACAGCCTGGGAAAAGCGCAGGCAATGAGGAACACGTGTTTTACGACTAGTACCAGTGTTAAGTTTCCAAAAATTATCTTTAAAAATTCCAAAAATGTATGAATATGCAAGAAATATATAATTCGGCAGAAACTAAAGAAACATAACCAAATAATAAAGAAAAAAAAAATGTTTTCCTACATTAACTGATACAAATAACCTTAGCAACGGTATATTTATATAATACATCTTATATATCTAGATATATTTATTATCAATTTACTAAAAAAAACAAAAACTTAATCTCTTGCATTTGATCTGTTCGCCGTCGGAAAAAGCGCCATGAAACGCAACTGAATTATTTCGGGATGTCCATTTAATATTTCTTAATATGCCCTTAATATTATGATATATTAACTTAATATTTTGTTCACTGCAGGAAAAGGCACTATGTTACTACTTTCGGGCCTAAAATTTATTTTAATTAAGAACAAGAACACAACTAAATAAAATAAGATAAACTAAAAATTGAATTCCTTTATCACGCCAAAACTATAGCACAAGCTTTCAACATGCTAATACGCATATGATTAAGCCCTATGCTCCTCAGAATATATAATACAAAGGAACAAATATATATATACATGATATATTATAAAAAAAATAATTTAATTTAATAATAAAAAAAAAAATAACATATCGTCAATAACTTCAAGACAAAAAGAAAGATCATTTGAAAAGCAGTTGGAAGGACAAGAAGAATTTGGCATTTAAAACGTTTCCCGAACAAATATTACGGAATATAATTTTTTTTTTCTCAATAAACCTCAACACAATTGAAACATCGTCCGTTATCCTAGACTTCTTCCGTTCCTCACCCCCTGGGAAAGCGCAGATGCCACTTACATCTGCTCTTGAACGCTTTCATTTGCCCCCTACCAGCTGTCGCTTCCCGCAACAGGCGTACCCTTCGCTATCTAATCTTGTTCATCACCTGAAGGGAGGGTCTTCCAAAGGAACCAGAAACTATGATTCTGATAGTAGGCTGAAAGATGATGAATACAAGCAATAATTAATAACGCTATTATGAACCTTTAGAGAGAAACACGATTATAACAGACTTATTATTATTACTATTCCATACAGGCTTCCGATGGTTCTAAAGAATGAATAGTACAGATAGATTTTCATCTTTGTAATCCTCGTCTAAAAATCAAAGGAGGTTATTGCGGCTCGTCCCGGTCTATTTAGTGGTTTCCGGTCTTTTACTTCCTCTCAATGGCCTGTGGTGTATAGTTAACCTTTGCCTAACGGCAATAAGGAGAACATTCTTACTTTTATGACGATGCATACTTTAATTATTGTGAATAAAATACAAAGCTAGAGGAAGATAAAGCAAGAATGGCAAACAAGGTAGAATGGAGAATCTCAGTAACGTCTTAGGAAACGTATAATGCCTGGAGTGAGAGTGGAGAGAAATTCAAACAGTTTCGAGAAACCGTGCCATAATCTTGCGGTCATGACATGTTGCCGACAGAATTTTCCCTTCCAGAAATGTTCATTCCAGAAGGTATGCAATCATGCTTCAGTATGATTTCCACGAGAGAAGATAAGGAGGTGGTGATGTACCGCATTCAAGATGGTCAAGAATTATTGGCTGCGGAGAGGGATAAGACTTAGACCTTGGGGATCTTGGGAGGGGTACAGCCCAGCCAATTTAGTCGCTGAAATGAGCTATTGTCTCCTGGGATCCAGGGATGATAATTTCGGTCAGTAAATCCCATGAATTTATCGATGTTTAGTTTCATTTGCTATGGTACTATGTACACTAAAAACTATGTACACAGTAAGAAGGCTATAGTTATTAAAAACTTTTATAGGTTTATAAATCAATTCAGAACAATAGGAGTTAATTTTTAAATTTAAACAGCACTTTCTCTGAGCATCTAAATTCAAAAGAGGACAAACTTTTTGACTGGTTTTAGTTTTAAGTTAATTAGTATTTTTTTTTTTTTTTTTACCATCAATCTTTAGTCAATAAAATTAGACAATTTTATTAGATAATGATGATATCTGTGTGGAAATATTCAACTTAGAATAATGTCATAAAACTGATGAGTTTTTGAATTGAGGGTGAAAATGAGCGCCTTGATTAAACTTGTTATGGAAGAAAAAAATTCTAGTTCCGTTCCTAGATGTACCAACTGCTTACGCAATCAAGAGAGAATGCAGGTGAAGAATAAATAAAAACTAACAACATAAACCTCCAAAAACCAGCTTTCAAAAGAGACATTGGCTTCGATTAATTATCAATATTTTGACAGAAGTGCTGTAAGACAAGGAACGAGTGCTGGGAGAGAGAGAGAGGGCCTAGTTAGACTCCCTGCGGGATTCCCACGGTGAGCCTCCGTTGTGAAAGTCACCGTTAGCAAGACTTCTCACAGTCTCCCCCAACCGTGCCTAATTATCCAACCGACTTCCAGTGCTTTCTAGCTCAAATCCAATAAATATATCTTGTTCTTAGTCGAGATGGGTCAGGTACCCACCTACATGATCTCCCACTTATGTTAACAGGATATTTGCAACTTATACCGATGCCGATCACGAGCCATCCTTACCCGCTCGAGAGGAGGGAAAAAAAAGGACTGTCAACACGGCTGGCTGGATGTCTTCACGTTTGATCGTTTTCTCCGCTTAAATTTTATTGCAATTACGTTGGAAGATAATTTAGTGCAACCGGATTAAAATAAAATAAACAAGGGTAGAAATTTTGTCCGAAAACATCTTTAAAAATTGATTTTATTTAAATATGGATCATTTTAATTTCACCGACGCGTCTTTAATAAACTCGTCGGTCGTTATTAGAGGTATACTAAAAAATGTTTTAAGTAGTTACATTTTTTTAAATATCACAAAAAATAATAGTATAGCTTGAAAAAATAAGATAGACAAAAAAAATTCCACGCAAAAAAAGTTAAGCATATCCAAATCGACTTAAGAAAAGAATGTATTTCTTACAGGCAACATTATGTTGTCTAAAGGAGCTGCAGAACCAGAATTTAATTTCGATTGGGATTTGTTTTTTTCTAATAATAATAATAATTCTGGTATAAAAAGGAAGGAACAAATTTGAATCAATAAAAAAAATATTATTTATCCACTTTGCGAAGCTTCAGTCCGAAAGACCCCTTCTTCCTTCTCGAGCCATGTAAGCCTTATGCCAGATTGAGAAAACCTGTATAAACGTATACCAAGAAGAATATATATTTAAGTACTCCTTACTTCCTTTAAATAGTTTAAAAGATACCGTGTTCATAAAAATTTGTTAAGTGTAAATCCGTCAAACTGAAGATGTGTATTTATATACCCTTTTTATTAATTTTTTTTTTAAAGTGTCAACGAAATAGGAGATACTTTTCCGGCAGCGGAACGTCACCATAATGCGATGGAGCCCTCGCACGCTAACCTATATCCGCCATAACAACAGAGGTCTCCGTTCCCAGGCCAATGGTTTGGTCGATCCCCACCACATCACATTGATCACTTCCGTGGTAATTAAATCATTGTAGACCTTTCTGTAACGGAAGATGGAAATGACACAGCCGAATTTTAAGGGCGGAATCGTTTAGTCACTATTTGCAGAACGTTTCCGTCGAGTAACGTAATTTGTTATCGTTGTTATGACGCCGAGAAAGCAAAGAATTCTACTGAAATCATTTTATGCAGATAGTTCAGAAAAAAAATTATGCCTATAGCTGAAAGCATTGAATTTCTAGAACGCATATTGAATACCAATGAACTATAGTACATATATTTAAATACAATAAAGAATTACGTACAAACACGAAACAGAGAGATTTTAAAACACTTCGTATAGATTTAAATGCCACTTCATCGTGCCTCACACTGTGGAGAACTAGAAACGGCTGACAATTTCCAGTATATTAATAAAGTCAGAACAATGACAGAGAAATAAAACAGACAAGAGAGGAAACGAGAGTTAAAAATTTTATATCTCTGAAGACTGAAGGAGATATGAAGGAGTCCCAAGATAAATGCACCCCCCTCTGTCATGTTTTAACGATACCCCATTACGATACTTAAATATTAGATCGTTAACATTTGAGATCAATTTTATTTTACCATGCAAATAGTGGAGCGTAACTGCGGCGTGGGAAAAACTTACACAAGACCGTTATAAAGTTACAACAGGAAACCCCTACTCTGCTAAGTAAGTCCAAACTTAGAATAATGGTATGGACTTCACCAAACTCAATTATTTATTTAACAAGGTACTGAACAAATCGTGGCACAATTCGGGCGAACATTTATTTATGGGTTTGACATGTAATAGAACAATTTCTTTAGTTTAATAAATTTAATAACATTAAAATAAAAAGTATTAGCAATCATTACTCTTAGTTGAGTAATATTTACACACGAACGATTAAAACAGAAGTATTAATATAAAAATCATTTCCAATTGAAGAATTATTCATTGATATATTATTTTATAATACATATATTTAGGCTATATTACTAGATTTTATGAATAGAAATACAAACAATTGCTAATTGATATATCATTAAAAAGAAATGATCAGGTTCAATTGAAAAAAATGTTCGGAAATCCCATAATTTAATTTTAATCCAGCAACCATTTAATATTTATTCGTCAAGCTATAATTATACAATCAAGAAAATTACATTATTTTGTGATTTTAAAATTTAAATAAAAAAAAAATGTTTACTAAAGATTGCAAACCAGTCTAGATATTTAAAATTAATAATTTATTATCAAGCGATGGATTAGCTCTTATATACATAAAGAAAAAAATTAGATGTGTTATTTTGTAAACAAACCATTTTTCAATTATGCTTATTATACAATCCATTAAATTTTCTACTACTTTTAAAAAAAAAAAAAAAGTGAATATTATTGACTAGATTTGAGTGGATAATCTTGTTTACCGTCTAGGATTTACAACTCCATTCCGGCGCCAGAGGATGCGTTAAGACTATTTCTTCAGTTCTATCCTTTATTCATCTGGCGTCTGGGCAATCCATTAAATACTTAATAGGTACAGCCGTTTAATGACATTAATGCCAAGAAAAGAAAAAAAACAAGCCAAGGAGTTGACTATGAACGCGGGAAGATCAAATTAATTAGGTGTTTAATAGTAACAAGTAATGTTAAAAGTTTCAAAATATATATTTTAATTATTTAACTAAGTTAACCTGAGACTAAATCAGGGCTTCAAATTTTGATAAAATATCATTATCCGTAGTCGACTGGACATTAAAGAAAGGAGGTAAGGTAGTTCGTGCACGAGTAACCTTCCTAATTGTTCACAGGACCCATAATAAACATGTTTTGAATATTAACCCTTAAAACTACACATTAGAAACTCCATTTAAACATGATAATTAATTAAACTAAATTAAAATTAATATTCATTACAATAATGATTAAAAGTCATTGAGGTAATCGATTAAAATTAGCCGTAAGACAAAGTAATCTGTAATTGAGACCATATATGATTAATACACTAATTATCATACAATGGAATAAATCATCCGTATTAATAGCTTAGGTGTCCTTTGATATCTTGGGAACTAGGTAAATAGGTAAGAAACTAGTAGTAAGCAAACGTTTTTAATGACTGAATGAAACGCCCGGAATAAAACAGCTGATTATATTGTAAGTATCCTGTTGAAATTAAAATTATATTTACATAAAATATATACAAAAAAAAATTAAAAATGACAATTTTTAAACGAGTGAAAGATTCAATAACACCCGATAGAAGGAGAATACATAAGAAATATACATCTTGGGTGGGTGTTCAAACTTACGTCAGTACAAAACTAAAACTTCATAGTCCTTTATTCATATCATTCAATATCTTACTCTATTGTATTGTTACAATTATATGTTAATCGGGAGAAAATTATAAACACAAGCGGATCTAAGCTATGTATGATCCAACACGGACGGTACCTGTGTACACCACTTAATTTTATATATAAAAAAAAAAAAATGTATTCCTTGTATAAGTGTTTATTCGTAAACCTGAATTTTGATTTTAACTTGATATTACCTAAAGTCCTCATACTTTTAATTTTAAAGACTTAACAATAGATTGATATTGGATTGACAACCCAAACAATAAACAATACAGACGTAGAGAGGTTAAAATTTTGTTTTATTTATAAATTTACTTTCGAATAATTTGAAACGATTAAATATTTATTATAAATAAAACATTTTGATCCAGGATACAGTTATCAGCAGCATCAGGTCATATAAAACTCTTATCACATCAATAGGATAATCGTTCATCGGTATGTTTATAAATTACTAGGAATTATTTTTAATGCTTTGTATATAAGGCTAAGAAACACACAAAAAAATAATCCGTGTCAACAATGAGAGAAGTTTTGAATTAGTCTTTGGCCTACATAAAAGCCTTAGTATGAGATCATAAGTTTTGAAAAGGATCCCAAACAAAAACTATAACAATCATCAAAATTTGTTAAAAAAAAAATACACCTAATGTCTCACATCCTATTTTAAATGCCCGGTCTATTTACTAATTTATTATCTTGCTAATAAGTTATAAACGAAAGAGCATTATACTAAAATTATAGAAAAAAAAAATGAACTCTCAAGGCGATATAATAGCGTAAACGTTATAAATCATTTTATTGTTTTTTTCTATGAGAACGTTCAGAACTTTTTTCATTGAATTCAACTGTATTAATGGAAACATTAAGAAGGTATGAAACAAAGCCATTGTTGCGTTTTTTTTCCTTTTTATGTACCGTTTAGATTTAGTCTGATAAATGTAGGGCGATATTAATGACAGTACTTATTCAGAACTTACAGATCAATAAGGAAGAATTAAACTATTCATCATTTTAAAATAACCGGTGAAATGTCATAAAATTATCAATAAGAGTTGATCACTAGCAATTTATTAATAGCAAAATAGCAGTGTTAATAAATTGCGTCGTTTAAATATTGAATAAACAAGATTACAAATTAACTTTCACTAATATTCCCTGACTGCATAAATTAATAAATATAAATAAAAACACTTGCCTATTCCGAGACGTTTCTTCACTTTCTTGAACATCTTCATCTTAGTGCTGGCGATGCCCGGACTCGCTTTGGGCTGAAATACAGACGACACACCCATAGAATCTGACGAAACGCCGTGCTGCGACACTGTGGACTGCACGACAAGACAGACCCGAACCAAACAACCTAACCCAACTGATGGTCAACGCTGACTGATCGTGTACCAGGCTTCGGACCAGCTGGTACATAGTCCCCCCACCACTGCCCGCTTCGGCTATTTTCGTCTCTCGTCGGCTCTTCCGAACCCATTGCACGGGGAGACATTCCCTGCAGCCTGAAGGGGTAGTCGGGTATAGAGATGATAGGTGTCAGAGCGCTGATTATTTAAATTAGAATAATTACATCGTAATGTTATAATTTTTACAATTATATTTAAATAAAATTATCAAACCATTATTAGTGATAACGTTAATTAAATGAAACTAACTGGTAGGAGTTGAAAATACAAGGTTAATGTTAAGTTAATGTTAGATAAATATAGAAACATTAGTCAATAATTGTAATTCATATTAACTAATGAAAAAAAAAAAAAGAAGAAGAAATATATATTTCAAATCATTCAAGTTATCATTTTTCATTCCTTATATTATGAATTGTATTTTATCCACTTATTATTTCATGAAGAAGAGTGATAAATGATCCTTAGGTTTTTAAAGAAGGTTTATTTTACGTTAATTCACAATTTATTTATTTTCTTATTATCAACGTTTTGAGTTCTTAGCCCATCTTGAAGAACAGTAGTTTTTTTGTTTTAGGTAACAATACAATTAATTTTGTATGCAATTAAGAACATTTCTATAAAAAAATAAAATATATTAGTATACCTGGGTAATATTATCCATTATATGTAAAAAAAAAATCAACATCCATCTCTTTGTCATTTTAATTTATGAATAACTTATGTCATAATTTAAAATTTTATTAAAATTAAATGTCAACGAAAATTGCTCAATTTTCATAAGAAACAAAATTGCATCTGTTATCTTATATTCAAATGTTATCTAGCTATATCAAAGAAAATAAATAAATTATAAATTAACGGAAGAGATACATTCTTCAAAAAAACCCAGAACTGTATTTTACTTTTATTTTTGAGAATGGAGAGCAACAAATTTTCGTTTTTAAAATTGGCGGTTGTCCGTCAAATAGAAGCTGAATAAGTCGAATTAGTTGAGAACACGATTAGTTTTTATCTTTGCCCTTCAGAAAACCCTTTTTTTTTCTCTCATTTTTATCTTGTTAATTTTCATTATTTGTTAAAAAAAAAGGTATTTATATATATTTATACATACAAAAACATAAACACACACACGCGCGCGCACACACACTACAGAATATAGCGGAAAAACTCTTCTTGATAAAATTTGGACAGCTTATTGTATATCGAAGGTAAATTTCGACAACTGAGTAGTGAAGACGGTTAGAATTACTTGATAATACAAATTTTTTTTCATTTTGGAGTGTCAAAAATATAATTTGAATACATATTGGTTTTCCGTACATACATATAGGTTTAGTAATTCCACATTATAATAATCATTGAAATAATTACAATAGACATATTTATTTTTTCATATTGCATAAATGAAAAATGGTAGTATGAAAATACGAAGATATTGCACAATTAGTATAGCAGATTATTTATAAAAGGAAGAAAGACACTAATAAAATGAATTATTCTTCTATTTGCTGGCAGATCAATTTGAATACTTTAGTGTACGACTAATTTAAAACAATCGAAAGGGAGAATTTATAGTTATAATCCAATAAGCCACACATTCTACCATGGCACGGAAAACAGGATATGATGAAAAGATAAAGTCGATTTCTCTAACGGGATGCAGTGGAATAAATCATTTGGTCGATGGAAGAAAGATAATCTTTCAATCCACTATGTCAAAGCCCTAAATCAGCGGTACCGATAACAGATTCTCTCGCTCCTATAACATCATAGCTTTCAAAATTTCAGAACACTGAACAATTTCAAACTGGACTCCCAGCCATAACTTAGGTGAAGGTCTAGCGAGGGCCAGCTTAATGTCTCCCAACAGTGGCAGATAAATTTCCATTATTTCCTGGGCGGAATGGCTTACATTACATTTTAAATCTTACAGACCTCGGCAAATTAAATTATGAAACTACTAGGCAAGAGATAAATACGACAGGTTGTTTGATTTAATGCGCCCAGAAGATGTTAGAGGATAAAAAAATATAATTATATACCACTTCCACATTCGTATAATTTTATTTAAACCAGTCTAAATTTAGCACAGATTTTGCAATATTAAACCAGAAGATACAGCTCTATATGGACCTTGTTCAAAAAATATATATGGCATAATCGGTTGTTAACAGAGAAAAGTAAAATACGTGTATTTAAAACTGCAGCTTTAATTACAACCACGGTACTGAAGAACGGAAATTAAAAATCACACACACCAATTCCAGTAAACCACATTTTACATAAGAGAGTGAAATCTACTCAACGCAAATGAGTTAATTGGGATTTCTAATATCAAGTAATTTGAAATGGGCACCAGAATATTGGATTATGATGAACTCTCTTAGCACTTTCTAAGCTTACGAACATACCGGAGAACAAGGGTTGCACTTGTCTTCAGTACAAGTCTGGGTATTTCAAACTCTTTAAGGGCGGATGGGTGAGCGGCTAACGCGCGTGCACAGCACGGCACTTTGATCGGCAATCAGAGTTTAAACCGAAGTTTAAAGATGTAAAATAATGACGAGTTCGCGTCAGCAAGGCGGGGACCAAAAAGAAAAAAGAGAAGATAAAGCAGCATCAGATCTAGAAATTTTTCCAACGCTAAAGGGAGTTCACTGCGTTTTTGTTTAACCCCTCTAATAATAGTCAACAGTTTTATATAAAAATTATAGATCATCTATTTGAAAAAAATGTCGAAAAAACAACCAGAAGCAATTATTTTTTACTCAACCTAAAAATAAATTTTAGGCGTTGAAGACCTGAAGGTTTTAACAACAAACAATAAAAATCAAATTTGGCTTGAAATTTGCAATCATCTAAATTCTGCAGTTCTGGACACGTTTTTTAGTTATAATAGAAATTATAGGAAATCGAATTTGTTTAATTGTCTTGAATTTAGTTTCCATATCTTGTAATTTCATTGATGTATTTTTATTTTGAAATGATATGTATAATTAATAGAGAATATATCATTCGTAATTATCTGAGCTCCAAAATATCTAGAAGAATAAATATTCAAAAATAAATAAATATAGGACGAATGAAAAGAAATTTCTCAATTACAATTTTTTTCAATTCGCGCCAACTGTTCATAAACATGAAAACTAAGAGAAACCGTTACACGTCTGGAGGATTTTTGAGGGTGCGAAATATTCACGAGCTAAGCACACTCAACTTTTAAACTCTTGTGCTTGCCACGGTTTAGGTTATATTTAAACAGAACTAAGCAGGAATCGATTGTAAAAAAAGGAATACTACGTGTTTACAATAATAATAGTGAACTTGTATTCTTATGCATATGTCAATAAAACCAATGTTACAGGACCATTCAAAATATTGGTGGGACGGAATGAGACCATTTTGAAAATTGGGAGAGAGGGAAACGCGTCTCTATTATCCAATAAGGATACATGTCAATGGCAAGGATTATAAATCAATTAGAAATTGAAAATTGGTGGCTTTATTAAGAATAATGGTCATGCAAAGAGATGAAGATGTATAGAATATATGAGTGGCATCGTATCAGAAAAAGCAAATTTTTTTAATATAGCTTCAATGTAAACCAATTATAATGTTTACAATCATACTTGAATATACTTATATTAAATCATCAGAAACAGTTTGAGTTGAACTTATAAAACGAAAATTGACTTTTTCCTCAGTTTCTGAAAATGACAGGTGTCTGACTTTGATATGAGGCCATTCATATATACAAATGTATTAATTTTAATAACTTTCAAGCTTAGCAAAACAATTTTTTTTTTTTAGTGATTGGAAAATTATAATACAAAATAAATGGCATACATCTTATAATTAACTACAGTAATTCCCATATACCGACTGTCTTCCATAATTGTGGTTCTAATGAATATTTTCTTATACTCACACGACTGTGTTGATAACAGTCCGCTTCAACATACTAATTTAATTAAAATTTTATCTCTCGAGTCCAGAGCTGGCTGGAGTGAAGTGTTGTTCCCAGGGTTGCAATATATACTGCCATACCTCCAAGCATTGTTTCGTTTTAAACTGGTCGTGGTTCACCAAAGCCTAGTTTTATCAAACAATTCAACACTTCGATTTTCTATTCAATTAAACCTTGTATTGATGAAGCAAGTTTTAATTTACTTTAATCTTTACTGTTTGGGAGATCTATCGAACTCTGCAGATTGTCTTAATACAAGTTATTAATAACATCGTTTATAGAAAATATACAAAAATGAGCACGAGATGATTTTGAATTCGATTAGGGCTTAATTTTTTTTAACAGAAAAGAACGACCTCCTGGTCGGAGTAATTTCAATGGATCACAATTGAAAATATTTGAAATGTAATGCGACCATTCTATTCTATTATAAAAGAATCAAATAACAGAGATAATAGAGTTATATTTTGATTAGTCCTAACTGTATTTAATGCCGTACTATAGATCACTTTTACAGATCTAGAGAGCTTTAGGTTTCGATGATTGAGTTGTCAAACGAAAGAGAATTTAATGGGAAAGCAATGAATTCCAATTTCGATCTTTAAATTTCTGTAAATTCAATGGAAGTCGATATTTGAAAAAAAAAATGGAAGATTCCAAAACACAGATGGTTTCAAAAATCCTTACTTTGTCACAAATAAAATCATCCATAATGACCTTGATGTTCCATGTTTCGTCGATTTGGCCTAACACAAATACCTATCCTTCCATAGTAAACTCTAAGCTCATCCTAATCCACTAGTTTCTGACAATTCTTCCTCCACGATCCATGAAGATGCTTCTTGATGAAAGAAAAGAAGACGGCCTCGAGATTTTCTGGAACTGTAATATTTCTGAAATGAAATATTATTATACTTAGTTTTTCTAATAATTGAAATTCTAAAACTGTTAATGTTTATTTTAGATGGTCAACTGCGATGCTTTTGGATTCTC